CCTGAGAGATCTTTCCACTTCCCCCGAGGCTGGTTACAGGCTCGCTTCCCTAACCCAGCCCAGAGCACGCAGGGGTCTGAGAAGCAGGTGTCCCCCCAACTCTTCACACACACGGGTCCGAGCCACTGAAACGGCCCCCCTTGGCACACACGGGGTAGCAATCAACTTGCAAAGCGACATCTGAGTCTTTCCCCGACCCTGCCCTGGGGAGTTTATACACTGCAGAACCTGGACCAATCCTCCTTCGCGGGAATAGCCGGGTCATTGCAAATGGGTTTGTCTCGGTTATTGTATTTATTTTACCCAAATAAAAGGGCTAGTTAGCAACGCCTTAGGAAGAAAACAACAACCCCCTCCCCAACCCTTTTCGTACAACGTGTTCCACTGATCCTCACATTTAAAACCGCACTTGCGTAACTCCGGACCTTACTCACTACCTAGTGGTGGTGAGAAGCCTAATTCCTTAATGTATTCAAAACGCTTAGCTCTGAAAGGTACTCTGCAGCCAGAGAGGTTTGATGACTACAGTATAAATAAAACATCAGTTAAAGATATTATTCCAAAGACCAGTATCATGGCAAAACAAAGGAATCAAGTCCCCACCCCAAGACAGCAATGGAATTATACAAAGTTTAATTATACAGGTTATAGTAAAAATTCTTTATCAACAAATCCACACCCGAAGAAGTGGGCTGTAGTCCACGAAAGCTTATGCTCTAATAAATTTGTTAGTCTCTAAGGTGCCACAAGTACTCCTGTTCTTTTTGCGGATACAGACTAACACGGCTGCTACTCTGAAACCTATAGAACATATTTACATTTCACCACACTTAGATCATAAGTAGCAAAATCTCTTGTCTACTTTGTCTTGTTCAGTCATGTAATATCTCATCTTGTGTGTGTGCGTATACATATATATATATACACACACATATATACACACCAGTTTTTAGATTAACAACATTTAGGTATAGGTTGCTATTACAAAAAACTTATATAAGGTTAGCTATGTTGACCTCTTTACTGTAATTTTCCGTAATACCCATTGATTGGCCTAGAGGGATCTTTAGGATAAATCCACCTCAAAGGATACTGGAAGACATTTAAAAAAAAATCAACTGTCCTACCACATAATTAATGTTGATATGCATTTGCTTCAAAATGAATGTACTCGATTGCAGGAGGTTTTTTGTTTTTGTTTGCAATTGTTCATGGAGGTAGAGCTTTAGATTGCACATTTTTAGAAACTGATCTACATACGTGAATTTTCAAAACCGCGTGTAAAAATACAAGCCATTGTCCCAATATCTCCATTCAGCGAAAGAGACATGTTGTCTATCTCAGGATTGCTATAGCAAGGATACAGCCTTGTACTTCCGCAGATAGCCTCCCTCCCCCGCCGCAGACGGTCAGGAGTCGGAGTCAGAGAATCCAGTTCCCATCCAGTATTCTTACTCATATTACAGTAACACCTATAAATCTCAACCTAGTTTGGGGCCCCACTTGTGCTAGGCACTATACCAGGGGTCGGCAACCTTTCAGAAGTGGTGTGCCGAGTCTTCACTTATTCACTTTAACTTAAGGTTTCGCATGCTCGTAATACATTTTAACGTTTTTTAGAAGGTGTCTCTCTATAAGTCTATGTTATATAACTAAACTATTGTTGTATGTAAAGTAAACAAGGTTTTCAAAATGTTTAAGAAGCTTAATTTAAAATTAAATTAAAATGCTGATTTTTTGCCACCGGCCCACTCAGCCCGCTGCTGGCCTGGGAAACGTTCACCTAGTTTGGCAGTGGGCTGAGCGGGGCCTGTGGGACCCCGGCTGGCAAGGGGCCGGCAGCTGGGACCCCAGACTGGGGATGTAGGTGGGAATGTGGTGTGTGTGTGTGCAGGAGCTCCTGTTTGGTGCTCAGGGGTGGGGGTGGGGTTGTGGGGGAGGGGTGCAAGAGTCAGGGCAGTGGGGGGGCTGGGGTATGGTGGTGGGGGTGCAGGAGTCGAGGAACGGGGGCT